GACAATCCCTCAAACACTTATGAATAAAATAATAACAACACAAATTCAATTGATTTTAAGTTGGCATTAGAGTTGGTATCCTGTATCATTATTGTTTTTATTTTACTTTCCTCACTAGACATGCAAATCAAGTAGAGAAATACACTGCACGAATGGCGGCTTGTACTCGGTCGGCAGTTTCAGGTCCAAACAACCTAAGCAAGCTCGAAGCCAAATCCGCCTCAATGGTGTTCGTCTTCACAACCTCATCCCTCTTTCGAAGATAATCTCTCTCGGTCTGCGACACCTCTCTCTTCACACAAGCACATTGATCCATCCAAATCCTAAGCGCTTCCTTTGCAACGGGATGAACATGTTCTCTTATGATCTCCTCCATTCGCTCGGCCGCCTCAGCTTCGATTCTGACCATGATTGCTGTCGGAGAAAGAAGGGATCGGACGTAGAGGGACGGAGAGAAGTAGGGCCTAACCTCGGGGATTTTGTCGAGCAACTGCCTTTGAGTTTCCAACTCGGTGTCTTGGTAGAATGTGTTAAGGTAGTCTGGATGGAGGACAAGGTCCTTTCTTGGCAGCAAATTGAGGTAGAGAATTAGCGATGTGGGACTGCTCAAGATAAGGTCCATTGTGAAATTTGGGGCGTCTGTGGAAGAGTTGAGATACATTGCGAGACTTGTTATGTTCAGTTCTCCTCCAGTTGGTAGCTCACTGTGGATCCATATTCCCGATAGGAAGTCAATCTGATATTATAACATGTGCTCAGAATTTTGAACCAAAAAATCAAGGGGTAATTTACAAATGATTCATGTGCTTTATGAGTGGGATTATCAATCATTGTCAATGTTTTTTTGTTAATTATATAATCACATATCAAATATAAGACTTGTAAACTGTTATTATACTAAAATCTACTTACTTTTTTACATCATGGAATTAAAAAACGGTGATATATATTTAGCATTTTCAGCTCATTTGAGAATGCTAACATGCACTCGTTATTCTTGACTACTCTTGTAAGTTGCGAATATCTTTTTTAAAAAAAAATTTTTGTTTCCTCTATTCTTTTATCTCTTGTTTCTTGATTAAAGAAGAATGCCTAGTCCGCGGGTTGAAAGTTAGAATTAATCTAAAATATATTTCCCGAACTTCACACCAAATCCTAGTTGGGTTCTTAACGTTTAAATCGTCTTTAAACTGGCCCCAATCTATCTTGGTGTGATAAAATAAATTATTTCTTCATATATGCGTATAAAATGTGGATGGAAGATATCATATGTCATTCATATTTCATGCACACATTTAAGTGAGGATAAAATTCACATCGAAAAAGGATTTGGTTCGGTGTTCATGATATTTTGTGATAACTCTACAAAATAGAGTTATTTTTGTTACTATTTGTGCCTAAATTAGCTTTGCTCTCAATGATTTTTATTGTTTTATTTAAGTTTTAGTTTAGTTTCACTTATTTTATTTTGTTTACCTTTATTTATTTTATTTTGATTTGATTTAGTTTTTCCCTCTAATTATTTATTTTCTCCTCTTTTGTGTTTTAATTAGGTGAATTGGGCAATTTATAGCTTAATTTGGGATTCAAATCAGCAAAAAGAAGAGGATTAATTCGGATTAAAGTTACCCACACGTACGCCACACATCCAAGCTTTCTCAGCAGCAAATCAAGTGCCGCCAAGTGGCTAGTCCACGTCAGATCCGAATTAGCTTTTGATTCCCTTGTAGCTGAACGTGATTTGGAGGCTATTCGTGCCCCTGCGCATAATTCTCCATTCAACAGAGTATAGCACCCAAACATCAAGAGCTCCATTGGTAGAGTTGATAGAGAATAAATTTGGGTAATTATTTTTGGATTTTTGGGGTCAGTTCTTAGGTTTATTTTATTTAGATTTTTATTTAGGATTGGAGTAGGTATTTTTAGAAGCTACAATTTGGAGAAGAATGAGATTTAGAAGACGAAACTTGAAGATCTGTGACACCTCCGATCAGTGCTATTTTCTGAATTTCTAATTCTTTAATTTTACCAGAATCAATGTTTTAGTTTTGTTTATTTGGGACTACGATGTAGCCAGATTGTGAGCATTTGAATTTTTTCTATTTTTAATTAAATTATGTTTTATTCTCAAATATATTGAGTGTTTCAATTTGTTTTTAATGTTTGTGATTGCCTTATCAATAATTGCATGATTTGGTGTTTAATTGCGAGACTGAGAAGTGATGATCAAATATGACCCATGATTGTTATGCTATTAGAATATCATAAGTTAGAGATAATTATGTGACTAGTGCAATGGTGATGATTTCATGTTCTTAATGAATCTCAACATGTTAAAATCTTAACAGAGATTTATGATCTACATGTTTGGAGTATGATTATTAATGCTTAAGAATGATTAGTAATTAATTTAGAGAAATTCACTGTTAGTATTGAGAATAGGCATAATTAATTTAAATACGAATTTTGAGATATGATTAATTTTGATGAGTTGCAGACTTGAATAATTTAGGTTTTTTATTTTATTTTTATTTAATTTTTATTTTATTATTCTTATCTTAATTTATGTCGTTCAAATAATTTTTAAGGTCAATAAATTTTAATACTTAATTAAATTAACACAATTTTACTCTATTCATCATTTTATTACAATATACACTTACGTTACTATATATATATAGCGGTTACATGATTATATAGTGGTCAGAGAGGGCTAAGAATTATTCCAACATCCTTACCTTCTCTAGCTCTGATGTTAGCAGTGGACGCAAATCCTTTAAAACAGAACATATTTCTACAGTAAGGATCTCCTCCAGCTAGGATGAAAGACTTCAGAGCTTGTATCAGACTTTCTGGCCATACCAGAAAGAGAGAATTTAAAGTATTTTCAAGCATACATTCCGGGTTAATTTAGTTCGTTAATTTAAATTAATATGTGATTTTATGTGAGAATTTGTTTATAATAACAGAAAAAATTATATATAATTTTTTATGAGAATTTTTAACTATAATAAAATTTAAATTTAAATTAATGATATGAACAAGACCATTGTATGAATTACATCTCAAAATGGGGATGGTGAATCTCCTTTTGAAGAACCATCAATTAATATCCTAGCCAACCTACTAGAGAAAACTTCAGATTGGGGCAGAGAAATGGCAAGAGGTGTCGGGTTTGAAGAAATCAGTACAAATATTATTGTTTTCACATAATGGAGAACCTTCCATCAAAACAGTAGATTCATTTTTCAGCATCACAGGTCTCAAGAAAGCTGCTTATCCTTGCAGTCTTTATCTACAAGCTGAATCATCGACAAATTCCAATTTGACCAGGAGGTCTAAAACTTTCTAGATTAAGGACTCTTAAATTTTGAAGAGTATGATTTTGATGATGCAAATCATCCGTATCAACTTGATTATATAGAGTGGAATAATTTAGAAAACATCATAAATTTGCAAAAAGCTTCGTTCCATTATCCACGAAGATATACGGAAAAGCTTTTAAAAAATTTTAGCTCGATCGAATCTTTCCAAGAAAAAAGAAGAAACTGGTCAGAAAATAAGATAACGATGGAGTCACCCTCAAATTATGAGAAAAGAAAAAGAAAAAGCAAAAGTAAATACGGTTAAAAAGCATTTTCTTATAAGAATTTTACTGTTCATCTTGACAGATACTATTCAACCTCATTAAAGAACATGTGACTGCTGTAAAAATTCTCTCAAAATCAGCTCTATAAATAGAGCCCAATATTTTGAAGAAGGAAACCACAACACCAGAATAACTTCTCAATTTCTCTCGACCACTCTCGTAGTCTCCTCATCTTCCTCCTTTCTCTTTTCTTTTCTTATCCTTCTGTAATATTTTTTCTTTGTCTCCCCCACTTCCAGAAAAAAAAATTGTAGAACAATTGCTAGCTTTTTGTAGTGGAATGTCAAAATAATTTTCAGAATAATTTGTAAACTTTATTATTATTAATAATAAATCTTGTTTTTTATGTTTTAAATTTGTGAGTAGTTTTCTATATTCAGCTCTGTCCAGCTCACTATCTATATGTGTGTTTATGTTTTTGCCTAGTAAATTCTTTGATAAAGATAGTCTGTTTTTCGCTTTTCTCTCTTCATGAGGCAACTAATGTTTCGAGTTTATGATTTCTTCTTAGGGCTGGAGTTTGTCACCGTCACTGGATGGTCACCGGATTCTCGACTCTTAAGACAATGGCTAAGTAGTTAGAGGTTTGGTCTCGGTCGGACGGTTTTATCCATCAACTGTAGTAGTTCTTATAAATGAGCTTTAGTCATGCTCGATTTTGTTTGTGTCAAGTGGGTCTTTTTCTATTAGGTCTCGACACTTGTGTTTATACTTGTGCTTCATCCGTCTTCACTGGTGGATCCAATCAATATCCAAGATTCAATTTCCACGTAATTTGTGGTCATTTGTCACTATTTATGTAATTTGTTAATTTAGTAATGAAATTTTTCCCAAAAAAAAATCTTTGATTCTTGACTAACAAGCTTGACAGATCAATTACACGCTTAAAGGCACACAGACGTTAGTCAAGACCACAATGGTTCAGTACCGAAAGTCTCATACCAATAACAGAAACAGAGAAATCAACTTAGAAAGTAAAACATTCAGTAATATTTATCTATTACGGAGAAGTATTAATTAGATAATTCGAAGTTTCATTAAACTACTGTCCAACCAAGAAAGAATACTATTTGTTATAGGGTGAAATTCTAAACTTTAAACTGGGCATTGGATGGGACTCACGCGTCATAATTAAGGGTATTAAATGATCGGAGACAGTTTTGACCTAACTGACACGTCGGATGGTAGTTTTCTTAAGCGTAGACTGCAAGTAAAAGAAGTGGCGTACATAGGCGAGTGACCGCTTCAAGGAGTTGAGAACAACAGGAGGTCGACTGTACCAGCAGCTGAAGACGAAGATGGTTTTAAAAGCGCTTACGAGATTGAGTCTATGTAAGCCGAGAGATACGAGATCTACTTTGAGATTTGTTATTTGTAATTAAAATATACGAAGTAAGGAAGTAAGTAAGAAAATCGTATTGATTTATAGATATTTCAACCTATCAGGAATATTTTCCTTACATTTTGGGATAATGTCCCTAAATAAAATAAAGAAACTTGCATATACTACAGAGATATATAATAAGAAGAGGTCAATTTCAGGAGGAGTTAGTCTGAAATTGACGTAGGCCTTGTTCGCTTCGCGGATTCGAGTTTTTGATTCGAGCTGAGATGTGACATTTTCTAAGTGCTTTTCACTGTAGCAGAAAATTTTGATGTGACATTTTCTGAGAGTTTTTTACTGTAGAAACCTAAAACTAAAAACTCGAATCGGTGAAATGAACGAGGCCGTAGTTTTTAAATTAAGAGTGAACTATTATGAATTTTTGTGTGTTTTTACTGTTTAATCTCTCTTATTTGTGTCTTAGATCATTGAAATCAATTTAATATTTTTGTTGACGAATTTCTTTCATCAAACACTATTCGTCCGTTTCACGTAATCAGGATCAGCACATACGAGATTTCTTTCTTTTTCTTCTTCTTTTTTTTTTTTTTCAAATCAAAAACTGATTAGAAAGAAAGGTAAAGTAGCTAAAACATGAATAATGATATTACCGGGGAAGAGCTAATGCCGGATCTGAGGTAAAGGGTGGCATGGGAGGTTCCATTCTGGTTCTCGAAGTAGCGGACGTTTTCCGGGAGGGTGCAGGGTAAGAGCTGGGAATCAAGGCGTGTCTCAACTGTTGATGTGAGATCCACCATCAGGTTCCTGTGTGGGTCCGACAAGTAGGGAACCTCCATGAACGTGCTCCTCCTGATCGCCTTCTTAGGCCCTTCGGCCATTTGATCAGACGGAGTCGATGAAGCCGAAATCCGATATCTAGAACTATTTAAGAGTCTTGATGACTGTAACAGAGGAGAAAAGGCGAGAGGAGAGCTTAAACAGTGGAAGAAAACGACTGCCATAATAATTGGCAAGCTTTTCAGTCGCTGTTCAAAACTCTCTCATGGTTTCTACCGTAATTAAAGGTACGTTTTGAGGAACCGTCCAGAAATGTCATTTCCATTGTCGTCTCTTTGTAGTTGGGCCATCTGGGGAGAAACTTCGGCCCATAATCCCTTCAATTATTGGGAGTTTTGGATTTTTTTTTTCGAAAATAGTATTTTTTTTTTTCGAAAAGAGTATAAAATAGACTAATATAAAAAGTTAAAGAAAATATATTGGTCAATTTTTAGTTATAGAAATTAATAGGTCATAACTTTTTAAGTTATGATTCATAATTAGATAAGTTATGGATAAATTTGTCAGGTTATGGTTTATAATCAAACAAATTATAGATAAAAACTGTGAATTATGGACAATAACTTGTCAAGTTATGGTTCATAATCAGACAAATTATGGACAAAAATAATAATTTAGCCTATTTATTAACTTATATAAACTATTAATTTATTAATTTTAATTCATCTCAAATCTTGATATATTTCTCTCTTTCTCCCTTTTTTTTTCTTTCCCCTTTTTGGTTATAATCCCTTGAATTCATACGGGGAACTTTCTTATCAGTTATCCTTCTTTCAAGTTTTTGTTTTTGTTTTTTTTTCAGGGTTTTATTTGCTTTTAATCATGCGAGGAACTTTACAAAGAAAAGAAAAGTAGATGAGAACTTGTATGATTTAAGTTGTTCTTTTTCTATATTTATCATTTATATAACAATAGCTTTTCCTTGAGAGGATAAGTAATTGTAAACAACTTTGTGGCCCTTTTATGTCATTATTCGCATGGAATATCAATCACACTACATCAGAAGATGGAAGGCACTGCCATGTCACTGTTATGCAAGAAAAAAAAAAGGCTAAATCATTACCAAAATTTCAATTAGTAAGTGGAGAAAAAAGACAATCATTGTGATTTATAGTATCATGCCATTCAAGATTTATAACCTCATATAATTGTAAGGCTGTGTGATTTAGCACCCCGTTTTTCCATCCAAATAAAAAGTCGCGAAAAATCCAGGACAATTAAAATGTTTTAGGATAATAATAATGATATCGCACATCCTTAAAGTTATCTAATTAGTAAGACGTATAACTTTAAGGTCATCTCTCTCATTAAAAAAGGATATGGTCTAAGGTTTGAAATTTTTCAGAAGAAAAAATTATGGAATCGGACAAATCGCGTTGCAAGTCCTCAAAAGAAAATCAGAGACTTACTTCAGAGAACTAATTATTAAATATCATTTTTTGTTACAATCATGGTAATTGTTTGAATGGTTACGGTGGGGGGTTTTTTTTTTCTTTTTAATAAACGGTTAGGGTGGTTAAGGTGCTTGTCTTCTAGCTCCTCAATCGAACTTGAATTCGAGTCACTTCTACGGCATTGGTTAGACGAAAAAAACGAGTACTGAATATGCAAGAATTTGATGGAATGCCACCCTCTTTCTCCTAAACCTTTTCCAATTTCAAAAAATATAGATTTTTTTTTTTTTTTTTTTTGCTGCATTGATCACGAGACTATAAGAGCAGTAGTATACTGTATATGCAGAAGTTAGTACTTGTACAGATAAAATCACTTCTCTAGATAGAAGGGTAATTTCTAAAATTCTTCGCACACCATTTATTCGCTAGCTACATAAAATGTTGTACAAAAATCATCACATCACGAGGAGAAATACTTTTTCACAGCAGCCATTACTCGATCCGCGGTTTCTGGACCAAACAATCTCGGCAAGCTCGAAGCCAAATCAATCTCAATGGTCTTAGTCTTCACAAACTTATCCCTCTTTTGAAGGTAGTTCTTCTCAGCCTCATCATTGACCTCTCTCTTTACACAAGCACATTGCTCCAACCAAATCCTTAGCACTTCTTTTGAAATGGGATCAACATAGTCTTCTATAATCTCCTCTAATCTTTCAACTGCCTCTGCTTCAATTCGGACCATAATTGCCGTCGGAGAAACGACGGATCGGATGTAGAGTGACGAAGAGAAGTAGGGCTTAACCTCGGGGACTTTTTCGAGCAATTGTCTTTGAGCTTCCAACTTGGTGTCCTCATAGAATGTCTTGAGGTAGTCTGGAATTAGGACGAGGTCTTTTCTAGGCGGTAAATCGAGGATAACAATGAGAGATGTAGGACTGTTTCTGATGATCTCAATTAGGAAATTTGGCGCGTCTGTGGAAGAGTTCAGATAGGTTGAGAGACTTGTTATGTTTAATGCTCCTCCTGTTGGTAACTCGCAGTGGATCCAGCTTCCTAACACGAAATCAATCTGAAAAAAAAAATCAAATGAACTTAATCCAATGAGCACAAGTTGTTTCTCGTACATACTTTGAGATTTCATATGGTTAAGAATAAGACGCTCTAATTCTATATTATAGATAGCAATAAAGTCAAGAGAAAAATAAGTTAAGCAAAAAAGCGGGACACATTCTATTGTCAGGGCATAATTAGGCCCTATAACTTAACACAACAACAACAACAACAACAACAAGTCTTAATCCCAACTTAATTGGGGTCGACTATATGGAAGCCTTAATCTCCACAGTTAACACATATTACTAATTCACTTTCTTTTCCTGCTTTCGAAGAGATCCTTCTGCATCCCTACCTAGTTGCTCTGGCCAGAAAAAGGGCAATTTAATTCTCATATTTTTGTACAATTAACACTCTATAAGTGGGGTAAAAATGCAATTTCGGCAGTGTGAAGCATTGTTTTATTGAACTTGAAATCTCTTTGAAGTTTAAAACTTCTCTGTTACGGGTCGGTGGATTATTCTTTGCATACTAGAGACAAACTATGAAACGAAACTATTCAACTCCAAAAGTACCATATAGAAGAAAATCCAAATTAAGAAGAGACAGTGGGGTGAATGGCCTTCTTAAAGACTACTTTAAGTAAATGTCCTAGCTTAATTTGCTAACTCAAGAAAGAATAGGGACACCTGATTAGAATTCGTTAGAGCTTGTTTGGTTTAACAACTCAAATTGTTGATTTAGTTTTAGTTGTGGTTATTTTAATTGTGATTCGAACCGACGTTTAAATATGTAAATAAATTGTAATTTGATTTGGAAATAAAATCTGAATTGTATTTAGATAAAGTGTTGAAAGCTGTCATTAGAGTTTTGCAGGGCTTGTTTAGTTCAACAACTCAAACTGTGGAGATTTGAACATTTTTTGTTAGAACTGTAGATCTGAACTCTTGTGATTTAAACTGTGATCAGAACTGTTGTTTAGATATGCAAATAAATTGTAATTTGAATTGAAAATAAAATCCGAACTGTGTTTGGATAAAGTGTTGAAAACTGTTATTCAGGTTTTGTAACAAATCTTATAAAACCTCATTATAAATGACATTAAAAAATATGCAATATGGATGGGGATTTATTCCTCTATTCATTATGAACACATTAAAAAAAATCATCTCAATCGAAATTAAAACGAATAAGTTTTAACACTTTTAAGATTGAAATTGAAGAGAGAGAAAAAGTAGAATCTGAAACTATTAGACTGTTGACAACAATTCAGACTGTTAAATTTAGAGGGGCGGTGAATTTTAAAATCAACAATTTGAGCTGTCATTGAACCATTGTTGATGGTTTGAATTGTCCTTGAATTTTTCACTCCCAAACACCAGTTTGAATCCTGAACTAAGGTTTGAATTCTAAACAACAGTTTGAGCTATTGAAATAAACAGAGGCGTAACAAATCTTATAAAACCTCATTGTAAATAAGGTTAAAAATATGCAATATGGATGGAGATTTATTCCTCTCTTTAGAAACATAAAGGAAAAAAAATAATCTCAATTGAAAATGAAACAAAAAGTTATAACATTTTTAAGCTTAAAATTAAAGATAGAAAAAAAATAAAAATAATTGTTTTTAAATTGTTGTCAACAATTCAAATGGTAAATTTTAAGGGTATGAATTCTAAAATCAACCATTTAAATCTTAATTGATAGTTTGAATGATCTCTTTTTATTTCTAAAATAAATACTAATTTAAACCTTTAAATACAATTTGAATTGAATTGTTTGGTTCAAATAGTTAAACCAAACAGGGTTATATTACGTGCTGAGCTAACAATACTTCAAACTCAACATTATACCTAAATAAATGCGTACAAACATACGTAAGCATACGATTGGGTGAGAGCTCAAAAACTGGGTTTGCACAAACCATTCACTACCACTCCAAACCAAGAAGAACACGACCAATTGACCATTACAAGTCTAATCTAAATTAGTGTTTTTTTTTTTTTTTGTTTTTTTTTCTGGTTAACACGACTTTATTGTACTGAAACCATATAATTTCTACCACATCACATCCCATCCATGATCCATGACAAGCACAAAGAAAAATTAATGCTTTGACTAAAATCACCATTCATTGTCCACCAACGGCAACGGAAGCTTCACAGCAAAACCAACTATACATACATACATATAATATATATATATATATATGTATGAAAATATTATAATCTTCACGTGTGAACTTGAAGTTCGACTTCTAAAGTGAAATTTTTTTTAATTATTTTTTGCGAAATTAAAAAGTATATAAAATTAGCAGAAATCATTTTCGGAAGCTAGAAAGTTGAAAAAGGTCAAAGAGGGAGGGAACAAACAGGGGACGACTTGTGGCCGGATCTGATGTGGAGGGAAGCATGGGAGGTCCCGTTTTGGTTGTGGTAGGACTGAACATCGTGCGGGAGGGTGCAGGGAAAGAGCTGAGAATCAAGGCGATTCTCCACCGTCGATACAAGATCCACCATGAGCTTCTTGTGTGGGGCCGAGACGTACGGAAACTCCATGAACTTTGAACGGCCCTGGTTGTGTAGGTCCATGTGAGAGGGGGCCGTTGAGGCTGAAATCCGAGGCCTTGGTGTTGGTGATGAGTGTAGAGAACCAGAAATTGATGAAGGAGGAGGAGAAGAAGAGAGAGAGTGGAAACAGTGGCAAGAATTAATGACAGCCATTCATGTCAGATTCCGTGCCTGCATTGGCTCTCATGAATTATAATTCAACAGTTGCTTAATAAAACGCTGCGTTTTAGTTCATTTAAAATAAATGAATGGATATACAAATTACACTACATTACAGGGTTTTTTTTAAATTATTTTTTAGACAAATTATATTTATTCCCCTGAATTATAAGTGTTTGAATAAAATATCTCCTAAACTTTAAAAATAATAAATTTTCCTCCTGAATAATTCATCGTTAGCACGAGTTCTCATTTTTCACTCTCTTAGTTAAATTTTGAATATTAAGTGTCACGTGAATGGCATGTGACTCTCATTCTAAGGAAAAAAAAGTAATTTATTGTGTTGAGTTAGGAATAAGGCAAAATCCATTTGAATTTTCCGACTTGATTCTCGGTTTCCAGCGACTTGGTTCTCAGTTTTTCAGCCACAGATCGAAGAAATTGAGTTAGGACTTTTGTTACTCACTTACTTTTGAGTGTTTTGACACCAACGACATGAGAAATGACGGCCAAAATCGACGGAACCAAACTCCTCCATGGAGAGTAGCAGTGGCAACTTCGAATTCTTGTAAATCGGTGAGGATGGTGGTGGCTACTGATCGGGATTGACTCATCTATGGATTCTGAGTGAAATGATGGGGCCGGTGCACTTCACCACCGTTGGGACTGCGGTTTTTAGAGAGGAGGTGTGGCGGCCGTGGAGGGTGGTTGCGGTGAAGCTTTTTCGGCGGGAATTGACGACAAACTTCAGGCGTGTCTTGTTCCTCTCGTCACTTTGAGTTTATAGAGACCGGAATCACTCCAATCGGAGGGTGGACAGAAATGTTATGGCCATTGGAAGTTTTGAGTTTTTCGAAATAAGTATGCCTTCATCTGGCGGAGTTGGTAGCCGCACGACACCGATCCCAACTCGGCTCGACGAGAGCTTTCCGATGAGCCGGGAGGTGTCGAAAATGGACGCCAGAATACTTGTCGGAGCTTGGTGGTCGTGCACAGGAAAGAGAGAGGAAAGAGAGTGATGGTTGAGATGCTTTTGATTCGGTGAGATTGACCAATCTATAGGATAGAATAAAAATTAAATGTCTCAACGACTTTCACGTAGCACTTAACGTTCAAAATTTAACCGAGGGGCAGAAACGGGGGACGCGTGCTGACGACAAATTATTCAGGGGAAAAATTTGTTACTTTTAAAGTTTAAGGGGCATTTTGTTCAAAGGCTTATAGTTTAGGGAGAATAAATGTAATAGGTCCTTATTTTTTTAAGCTAATGTCTACTTATAGTTGAACATAAATATTTTACATCCTGCATATTTTAATAGTATATTTTACACCAAACATTTGAAAATCCAAGATACACCCTGCACTCCCAATTTGGTAAATACTAAACCCTAAATCTACACGATGCTGCTTGAAAATCACTGACGGACGATTCAAGCTATTACTCGTGACCGTCTTCTTTGCGAAATAGAAAAATTACAAAATCTCTTTGTTCGAATATTCGAGGGATAGAAAAATTACATAGTTTACCTTAAAAACATTATAGAATTTTGTAACATAATCGTGAAATAATGTTAATTATAAAAATTTTAATTCATTATTTAGAAAATAATCCAAATTATTTGCTATATTTCAGTATTTACTACCTCTTTTCTTTTAGTCGACATTATTTATGTCTCGCTGCGCTCGAGCTATTTTTAATAGTTCTAACTTCATTAATTAGGCGTTTATGATTTTGTGAGATTTCATTGGTTATAGGAAGATAGGACTCACTATCTATATGAGTGATAAGATCTTATCCCATGGACATGTAAACGATTTTTGTTCCACTAACTACCATTTCATCATCGCAACTAACAAAGATTAAGAATCGCATCATATGCTTGAAACTCGACGAAAATGGAAGGTTCCAAAATTATGTAGTTATACTATGTAAGTCTCGTTCATTTAACCGATTTGAATTTTCAATTTTAAATTTTTACAGTAAAAAATTCTCAAAAAATATCACATTTAACTTATTCTGCTACAATGAAAAATTTTCAGAAAATGTCACATCTCAACTCGAATTGAAAACTCAAATCCGCGAAATAAACGATTAGTAGATTTTGGAATAAACAAACCCAAGATTATAATTCCATCCATTGGGTCATCATACTCTAAGCGCTAACCGTGCTAGAAAATTAATCATATTGTTCGCGTCATTTGGTAAACAAGAAACCAAAAAGAGCGATTAAAAAGATGCATTTACAAATAGTATTGATGAAAAATAAGCTTTCTCCGAAATGATTACTTTACACAACGTGTCATAACGCTTTACTAGTAAATGGAAGATTAGAGACCCATTTGCCTTTGATCCCTTGTGCTTCCGACACAAATCTAAGACTACAAAAGTCCTAGACCTATTTTCTCATTGGAGAAGTTTATGAACAATCCAAACTTATTACAATCATTTTACCAACTAAACTACACAACTACGAAATTTAACCCCCAAGCTAAATACCAAATTAAAACAGAAAACATATTTGCAGAGAGTCTATAATTTGTTTTCCCCTCGTGTAAAAAGCTAATTTAAGTATAGAACAATCACATTCACATGTAGAGTAGAGAAAATTCTTCTAGACCCTACAACCCAAAAGCTTCAGCGATGGTGTACGCACCACCGCAGATAATCAGTACCAGGATGATGATCAGATGCAGACCTTGCCGCTCTGCATCAGAGGCGGCGCGTGGAAGTCCACGCCCTTCATCTTCTTCGCGTGGGGTCCAGTGAACCCAGTTTCTTCCCCACGGGTCCTCTTCTTCTTGTTCTTCTGATCTTTCTCGTTGTGATCTTTTCCCCTGAGCCAAACACCAAACAGCTTTAGACCTTCTTCTTCACCATCATCACCATCATCATGATCATCAGCCTCGTTTTCGTCATCATCACGATCTTCGCCACCACGGGTGGACCCACAGTTGATTCCTTGCCGCATGATGCGATTGATCTGATCGGGCCCCACCTTCATGTACTTGGTCAGGAAGGTGATCAGCTCGTCGCACTGCTTCTTCGTCTGGGCGAGCTTCGACGTCAAAACCTCGTTGTCCTTCTTCAGCTTCTCGTTCTCGTCCGACAAGTCTGCAAACTGCACGGTCACCGCCGCCGTCTCCACGGATCCCGGATTCTTAGATTCTGGCGACGAGGTCGAAGTAGACCCGAGATCCTCGCCGGAGTTCGACGGAGTCGAGGATCCCTCGCCGGCGGGCTTTGCCTGCGCGGTGGATGCCGTCGCCGTTTTCCGGCGACGGATTTCCGAGAGGAGCTCCTTCTGTCCTCGCCGGAAATTCTCGTTCGCGAACTCCCATTTGTCAGGGACGACCTTTCGAAACCCCTGAAAAAAAAGTCTTGTCAGAATGACGGTGCAGATGATTCGGATCTACCATCCCTAGATGAACAGTGGAGATTTCATTATTTGTTACGGCGGAGAAAATTTTTGTGGCGGGGACCACAGTTTTCACGGCCGTCAGCAAAGTTATAGCTGTAGTTCAGCTGTTGCTGACATTTAGCTGGGCAAAACCATCTGCCACAGAATAAGGATAATTCCTAATTTAAAAGACATATTTAGCCTTCAACCACTCCAGGGTTTAACGTGAAATGAGGGTAAAAACGTCTATATGGCTATCTCATTTTTTAATCATAAATTTAATTGGTTTTCCTTTTTCGTCTTTTCTATTTTTTTATTATTTTTATAAAATACCCCACCTTATTTTAAAATGCTCTTACCTTAATCTTAATTTGTAAGAGACGTTTATTTTTTATATTTATTTTTAATTTTAAATTATAATTTATAATTTTTTATAATATTTATTTTTATAAAAAATATACATAAAATAAAAATAATTCTGCATTAAATTATGAATACATAAATCAAACTTCGTCTAAAACAATTAAAACACCCCTTAACCCCTTAATTTATAAAAAAAGGGATTAAAATACCGCCCATGTTAACTTCTGTCTATAGTTCATAGAGAATGCATATATTAATTAAAGGTATTAAATTTTAATTGAATAAATGAAAATGATTACTCATTAAAAAGTAATAAAAACAAAACAAATAGAGAAAAAAAGGAACTTTAAGGATGTTAATTACTTCATAACAAAGCAAATTCAAACAATAATCTAGTGGGAGCAAAAATCAAACCAATAAATCAACGAGAAAAAAAGGAAGAACTCGAGTTTGAATTACCAAATTAATCAGTAATATTAGCAAACAAAAGTTGAAGATCATCTCGTCAATCTTCGAGCAACCTTGATCACGTTGCCTTCGTCTTCTTCGCCGATTAAAGAACCTTCCAGCTCAAACCCTTCGCCGATCACGACCCCTCGACATAAGACTCCCGGACATACCAGATTCGCCCCATCCTACTCACCGCCGGCGACACGAATCCCCCTACCATGAGAGAGCCCCGCAACGCTGGCAGCCACTGAATGGCAGCCAAATCTGCCCAGCCCGCAGCGGTAATCCTCTGCCGAGCCAACGCCAGCCCCCCTCCGACCCAGACCGACCGTCGTAGTGAGTAGAGCATCCTTCATCCTCTGCGAACGTCGACAGCTCTTCCCCCTACGAGAACGGCCCCTGATCAACGACGACGAGCTTTAACCTCGACCCAACCTTCCTCCTTTGGTGGCACGACTCCAGCAACGCGAAGATCGAATGATGGCGACCTCCTGGACGAAGAACGGGAGACAACATGCCGACGATGCGCCGGCTCGCCGCCCACAAGCCTCTTTCTTTCTCTTCTTTCTTTCTCGTGCTCTCTCTCTCTCAGAGTGTTTTTTTTTTTTTGTTCATATTTGTTTAATATTTGTTTAATATTTAATCATTTTACAGATTTAATTAATTTTTAATGACCTTAATTATTTTTATAAATGAATCCACATTAACAAATTCCATTGAGTTATAGACAGAATGGACATTTTGAACGATTTTCTATATATTGAGATGTGTTTTAAACTATTTTAAAAAATTAGAGAATATTTTAAAACAAAGTACATATTTGAAGAGACATTTATAAAAATAATTTTTTTTCATTTCTTCACGCGGGAACTATTCATTTTTTTCCTATTAAAAAATTTTATTTGTTTTCACTGAAATGAATAAAACATAAATACATTTTTGACTCTAGCAAAAAAAAAGCAAAAGGCCTTTGTTCTTATGGGGAAAAAAAAAACTGTCCGATAAATTTTTTTTAGCAATGCCAGTTGGATTTAATTTTAATTAAGTTAAAAAGTATGAAAAATAATAAGAATAGCTGAAAAGTATAAAATTATTAAGTGCATTTAGAACTCATTTTAAAATAATTTTATTTTTTATATGAAAATATAAATAAAAATATTTTCAATTTCAAATAAAAAATATTTTTAAAAATACATTTAATAATTTTATCAAAGATTATTTTTAATATAAATAAACTTATTAATATCTCTCTCTTTCTCTCTGTTCTAAAAAAAAACGAAAATTAAAAATTAAAAATTAAAAATTATTAAAAATTATTTTTTATTTTTTTATTTTATATTAAATTAAAAAATTATTTTCATTTTTATTTTTTATTTTTATCGTGTCAAACTCTGTTTTAGAAACGTTTTTCCTTTCTAAAATACATAAAAAATAAAAATAAAATCAATTCTAAACACAATCATCAGTATTTTCTTTTTTTACTTGTATGTTCCGTAAAAAAAAAAAAAATCATATGATTTTTATTCAAATACAATTTTTACAGGTCTTTTTCTTCCGTTCTTTTTTGAAATATTGTTCTACCCCGTTCAAATTCCATAGTTGGACAAGGAAAAATTACAAAAAATAGATGAATAAAAAATATCTCCGCGAGGAAAGCTAGATGAGTAATCCAAAAATAGATTACGCACTCTCAATACAACCAATATAGTCCTTTGTCACCTAAACAAAGTCCTTTAGGAAAAAAAAAAAAAAAAATCAATGTAGTCTTACTCTCTCAATTATTAAAAAAATCGTTTCTCATCATGTTTTAATCTCTTCCAAAACCATCACCTCGTCTATGAATAGATCAAACAAAACCAAAAAAAAAAAACCAAATTTCTAATCTAATCCCTTGTACTACACATCACTATAATATGAACCTAAACAAACAAGATCAACAAATACAAAGAAAAAAGTAAAAAATAATGATTAAAGATAGTAATAATAGAAGTAAAAGCAAAAGAAAAAACTTACGTAGGTATTGAGTTGGCGAACGAAGCTAGAGAAGTTATTGTGCTTGAAATACTTGGGCAACAAGTCCCTCGCGAAATCCGCCGTCTTCCAAACGACAAAGCTCGTCCCAGCCTCATTCCACGATATCACGTCGTTTGTGCTTGGATCCTCCACCAGCTGGTAAGTCTTCATCAGAAACGGCGCCGGCACCGACCTTTGCGCCATTTCTTAATATTCCCACTTTACCCCTCACCAACCCCCTCCAACAAAAAAAAAATCAAAAAAATTAAAAAAAGAAACTATTCTACGATCAAACGAATTTCTCCTCCACTTTTTGAGGGATTTCGATTTCGATCAGATTATATTCTATTATGGGATTTTTGTTTTTTTTATTCTAACAACTAAAGAGAAGGAGAGCGGTGAGGAATTCCCAGCCCCAGCAGTAGAATCCAGAGAGAGAGAAGCGAGCGCGGTTTACGAGGTTGCTACGAGGTTTAGACCTACCAGCTTCCATGGCGATCGGAATTTCCTATTTGGGTGCGAGTTTGGAATCCCAAGGCAAACAATACCATAACTTCATTGATTTTCTTCTATTTAAGGCTCCTAAAACTAATATTACCATTTTTCTCTGTGGATTCCTCTAGGTGGGTCTTATAAAGGATTGAGCTTGGAAGATGCCAGAATATAAGAGGAGAGAGAAAGGAGGAGAGAGAAGGAGAGATAGTGACGTGGGTTCTAGAAATTTTGAGAAACTCTCCTCTCTTTCTCTCTCTTTTGATTGATTAATTAACACCCGCTACGATTTTAATTTCAATTTTTCAAGTCGTCTTTCAAAGGGAGCTAGCTAAGCTTAGAGATAAGACGGAAAGAAGGAAGAGAGAAGAAGAGACAAAAGAAAAATGGAAAAGGAACACGCTTTTTTCTTTCTTGAAGAAAATGATGAGAGAGAGGGAGAGAGACGGTGGGGCCGTGGGGGAGGTTTGGTTTCGGTTTTAGTTTTGATTTTGGTTTTATTTGAGAGTTTATTGGGTAAGAAAAATAAATTATTATTAATTTTTTATTTTATGCAGTTAAATTTATATTAAAAATTGTTAATTTTATAAGATTTTTTTTATTAGAATCTGTTTATTTTATATATTTTTATAATACAGTGTGATTTTAATAAAATTTAATGATTAAAAAAGTAATTTTTTTATTAAAAAAAAACACGAAAAACTTCTCAATTGTACGTATTTTTTTTAAGAGGGAGTCCTTTGTTTTTTTGTGTATTCTAAATGGGAAAATAAGTGGGCGGTTTTTCTTGGTCGTTTCATTTTAGTGAAGCTTCTAATGCACTTTCTATAGAGAAAAAAATGGGAGAGAGAAAATGAAAGGAAAAATGGTGGCGGAGTGATACGTTTAGGATTTTGGTTTTATTGGGACACGTGGCTTTTTTTAAAAGGTATATTCTAATACTTTGTCAATGTTGAAGAAGCTCAAGCAAGAAAGTGGAATAAAATAAATGATAGGAAGAAAATCAAGAACAAGAAGGAAAGAGAAGGAGGTAAAGAAGGCTTGGGGGGGCCGGTGAAGACCCTTTTTCCGTGCTCACCTAACACTTTCCAATTTAGATTGCTTCTTTTTATCGTTACCTTTGTTTTTCTTTTCTTTTTCTTTTCTCTTTTTTTTTTTTTTCTTTTGTGTGTTGCTAAAAGTCATTCTTCTTTATTTTTCGTTATTTTTCTTTTCCAAGTGGTGTTTTTAACTATTTTAATAGAGACTACATTTTCATTCAATGAAAAAAAAAATAACAACGGTAAATCTGTTAGAAATGCCGGTATCTATCTATATAATAAAACAAGACGTTTGGTTCATGGATTAGAATTATAAGATTAGAATTATTTTTGATTTACGTATATTTTTTATGAGAGAAAATATTGTAACGAATCATGAATCATAATTCGAATCGAAATACGAATTTTTCAGTCAAACAACCCCTTATTGATTTGACTGAACAATAGTATTAGAATTTTGGAAATTCCAAGAAAATTAAAATCGAGCTCTACAAGGCCTCGTTCACTTCGTTGATTCGAGTTTAAAATTTGAGTTGAGATGTGATTTTATGTGAGAGCTTTTTACTGTAGCAAAAAAGTTAGATGTGATTGTTTGTGAGAGCTTTTTACTGTAGAAAAACTCAAATTCTAAACTCGAATCAGCGAAGTGAACGGGGCCTAAATCTTTGGAAACACTAACCTTCGTCTTCAGTGTTGAGTCTTCTAATATTGTTTGTCTAAAAGGGCAAACGTCCTTGCAAAGTGCAAATAGTCGATAAAACAAAATATAAAACTACAATTAGATCGAGATTCAAGTGGGACGAATTTCATCTATATTATACATTGATATTTAAGTAGGCACATACTTTATGTATCATATAAAGAATATGATTATAAAATATAAGAAAAGAAATGAAAATTCCTGGTAGAACTAGCTAGGATCTATCCAGTGAAAAGAATGCCAGGATGAACGGAAGAAAGAAGGAGAGTGAGAGACTTCTTGACTTCTCCTCGTGGTCTGTTAATTATTATTGTTATTATTATATTTTGCTAAAAGTTTGACTTATCGTTATTTTATATATGGCATAAAATGATAAAATCATTTCGATACTCTCAAAACATCTCACTACTAATAAAGATAATTGATTTATTTAAATTTTACATTTCTCTTATCATAGTATTTAGAAATTAGATTAGTTATTATCTTTTATTTTAGAGTTTGAACTATTTTAAATATTAGTTATTAGGAGATAAGTCTTTAATGTAGATTAGTATTTTATTCAAATTCAAACTCCGCATGTAGCTCTATAAATATTGCCTTCTCATTAATGGAGAACTTGTATCATTTTGTTCTAAAGTTTAAATTTTTTTATGGTATCAAAGCATCATACTCTAATGAGTCCATGATCCTCTTAAAATTATCTCAGGCAATGTGCTTCTTAACCTTTAGCCGAGATGCACCTCTAAACTTGGGCAATGTGCCTCTAAAATTTGAATTATTTAAATATTAGTTATTAGGAGATAAGTCTTTAGTTTAGATTAGATATTAGATTAGTATTTTAGTCACTAGTTAACAATAAATTAGATTTTTTTTAAAAAAAATTGAAAATACTTTAAAACATTTAAAAATTAAAAAGTATTATAAGTTAGAATGTTTTTAGAAAATATTTTTAAAATTATGAATTTCTATTTAATTAATAAAAAAAATAGACATTGTATGTCTTAAAAATCAATCTCAAAGTACTAACAAGACATTTTACTATAACAGATTGTACCAAATAATTCTATCCCTTCATATTATATGCATCTATGTATTTTTTGGGTATCACTGATCTCGTTAATTGTGTTAATATTTTTGTATGTTTGTGTGTATGATATTTATTGCCTCATTGTGCCATTGTTTGACAAGTAATTAATTAGTTGCTTTTCTCAGATAAGGATTAATAGACCTTAACGTCTGCCAGAAGTCGTTTCAAAATTAATGAAAACGATAAAATTAAAACCGAAGAAATATGTGAAATTACCATATTAGGTGATATTCAGATATGCACAGCATTAAATGACTAAACTAACTCAACAACTTATTAATTTTGTTTTTCTTCCGAGGAAAAAAATTCGACCTATGGTCACTGAGAAGATATCAAGAGGCAAAATTAATGTCGAAGCTAGTCATTTCGATATCTGTAGGTTTAAGTCTTGCTGTTAAGCAATAGGTTAAACCTGAAATAGATAAGCTAAACCTTAAAAGTAAACAAGAAAAGAAATACAAAGCCTAGGTTCTACATAATCTCATCTTTTTAATTTTATTTATTACCGCAATGGATATAACCTAACAGGAATTAGACCTTATGAGGATTAGGATTTTCATCTTTTAAAAAAAAAAGTCAATTTGTTAAGCGGAGTAGTCAAATGTATTTTAATACGTTGTATTTGGGTTTATTTTACCCTCTATACATATCGGACATATAATGCTCTTTTTACAGTCATCAATCTTGTGTTGAATATGTTTTGTATGAGTTTATTGAGCTCTGAGCTCATAATAGTAGCTAAACTGTGTGAGGACTTGAATGTTCAATTTTTCATCTTAAAATGTCAACATACTAAGCAGTATAATCTAATGTCTTTATAAAATTATGTTTATTTTTATATTTAAATAATGGTCCGCTTGAATTTATTTTATCCTTTATATTAATAATAAAGTAAAATAAAAGAAGATTTATTATTAATTAACATGAATAACTCGAATAAGAATTTTGAGGTCTTACATAAGAAGCTAGATTCCGAATATGTCTCCACAAATAAGGGAAAATGATTGGAGAATTACTTGAATTATTTGGTAGGTTTATTTGACTAATCCATCGGTATATGTTACTTCATACAACCCCATAATTAGTACCAAATAAAAAGCAACCTCAAAACAAGTTTAGATTTACATGGGAAGATCTAGTAGTACTGTCGGACTTCAAGTCTTGAACACTTAATTTAAATTTTGGGATTTAAAAACCTTAATATTAAGTTATCCGTTTCTAAATGTAGTTGTACCTAAATTGTTGAGTTTCTCAGCTATTGGATGATACATGATGTAGCGGTCAGTCACTACCGTGATTATAGTCTTCGGTAGGTTCGCAACCAATCTACTATTTAATCTAATTAATTCCTCTCTCTTTCAGCAGGTTGAGTAATCTGCAATATTGACCCTCATTAATTTTATTACAAATAAAGTATTCTTTTAGATAAAAAAATATATTTATATCATATATTTAAACGGTCAAATGTTGGAAATTGATCTATCGTAATTAATTAATACACGACATTGTTGAAAATCTAGACCAATACCTATATATATATGCGCTAATGTTAGCCAGTGTCTTTTAAATATTATAGAAATATAGAAATTCTAGTGAAAATAGTAAGAAATGTCTTTAAGTTCCGCACTCATATCAGTCTGATAAATGTAATTTTTTCTGTATTTTCGTGTAACATTATTCATTTGCGTGTATAATACTTTAGTTGGTTTAAGCGTAACATTTAAAAAATATAGTTTTGTGTAACATAGAGTATTAAACAAATTGTATAAATAATGTTACACAAAAATAATAATAATAAATTTACATTCTCTGGATTGTACGTACAGGTATCGAATTTAAGATTTTGTCAAAAATCATATATGCTTCATGTCATAATAAAAAATATATGTGACTTTTTAATTCATTTTAGACATTAGTTTATATTGTACTGTATATAAGTTAGAATATTTCGTTTGAAGAGGTTGACGGGTCACAGGTGTGAAAGTATGGGTGGCAATTCATGTTACGTGTCATGTTTTGATCATATTTTTTCTAAATTTACAATCAACCCGAACATGACCCGTGGCACGAAATTTTTTAAAAACCGCAACACGAACACGACACGACCACTTTACGGGTTGACACAACACGACAAAAAAATAACTCGTGACACGAAATTGACCCGTGAACCTGAATTTAACACGAAAATTATATACTTTTATTTAGTTTTTTATATATTAAAAATAACTTAAAATTCATAACACACTAAAATACAATAACATCCATTGAAATTAAGCGAATAATAGTATAAGATTTTAAGTATAACTATCATGATATC